GGCCCCGCCCCACCTGACCACGCCCCGAGCCCGGGCCCCGCCCCAGCCTCGGCCCTTTCTCCCAACTCCTCAATCCCTCGCCGCCCCCCATCCGGGGACCTCACCTAAGCCCCGTGACCACAAGGATGCCCCGATGACCCCCCGGAACGTGACCCGCGCGCCCGTCTGCACGCTGCCGCGCACCCGCCCCGACTCACACCTCCCGCGAAGCTCCAGGAGTAGGTTGTCTCCTCCTCCGGCAGCGGGAAGCCCACCACGCAGGAGAACAGGGCCTGGTCGCCACGACTCACCGTCACGTCCTGCACTGAGGACACGGGCTGGCACCGCACGCCCCCGCCCCGCCCCGCCCCGCGGCCCAGAGGTGGCCCGGCCCCCAGCGCCCTCACCTGGACAGTCCAGCGGGAGATCGCACACGGTGGAGTAGCACCCGGTGCAGCGGAAGCTCCGGGTGACCTCCTGGATCCCTGCGGGCGAGGACGCGGGCTTGGGCTCCGGCGGTGCCCCCTCCCGCGTCCCTTGGGCTGGTGGGAGCTGAGCCTGCCTTGCCTGTGTCATGGTCTACATGCTCTAGGGACCCCTACTGGCTGACCTGGGCTCTGGGACCCGCTCTCCGAGCACCACCTGGGGGACTTACTTTCTCCAGAACGCCTGCGGTCTCCAAACCCGAGTCCCTCCCACGCTCTTCCACCCAGACCACCTCCCTCGCCCCAGGATTCTGAGCTTTGGATTAAATCCTTACCGCAGGGAGGGACGCAGGGCTGGACTGCGGAAAGAGAGGAAACGTCACTACCCCGGAAGCCCCCGAGGGTCCCTGTAGAAAGCTCCCAAGACATGTTACCAAGCAGGACACCCCTGGAGGCTGCAGAGCCAGGCCCACAGCAGCCCCCCGCAGGCGCGGGGACAGATCCACATCGGTCCTCCCAAGGGCGGGGCCAGACCCACACCCGGCAGTGCTCCTCCCAGGCCAGGTCAGGAGAGTAGGGGGTACATCTGCGCAAAGGACTGCCCAAAGAAGGGTGCAGGTTGGGCAGGAAACAGCCAAAGGGCCGGAGCCCGATGCAGTGATACAGGGCGAGTCAGAAGTCCCCCACCCAGGAACCCAACTCTGGAAGGAGATTGGGGAGCTGCGGAGGGGTCTCTGGAGTGGGATTTTCTAAAGCCGCTCCTATTTTACCTTTTTTAAGCTGCAGGATGGCCCTCTTCATCTTTTCCGCAGCAGCAGGGAAGGCAACCTCAAAGGACCCTGGAGGGTGGGGTGGCCCTGTAGAACTGGCCTTTGACGACGGCTGGCACAGGGCTGGCCCTCGCGCTGTCTGCCCCTTCTGCACTCGTAGGTCTCATTACCACAGCTCTTTTCGTGACCTCCTCCTGCCCCTTAGTCTCTGCCGGATGAAGCCCCTGCTCTATCTGCCTTTATCTTGTTGGGAGAAAAGGGAGGATAACCATCAAATTCCTCGCCCGCACGGACCAGGCCTTCTGGGAGCTGACCTCATGCCTTCTTCCTTGCTGTCGCATCCTTCTGCCCTCTTTCATTTCCCTCTCAGACAAACAGAGCCACATTCCCTATCGCTCAGGGCCTTTGCACATGCCAACTTCGGTCTGAAGCACATCTTCCCCTACTCTTAGTCATCCTCCACGTCTTAACCTCATGTCGCTTCCTTAAAGGTTTTCCATTGTCACAAACCTATACTCTAATCCAGGTTCCCTTTTTCTCTCACAGTACCCAATTCATTTCGCGCACAGCTCTCACCAGTTTGCGGATGCACGCCTATGTACGCTGACACTGAAGTCCATCACCCAAGTAAATGTGTCTCTCTTTAGTGCTGCATCCTCAGAACTCCAGAGAGCCCTCTTAGAAAGAGCTCCATAAATATGTGAAGCATGAATTCCAGAATCCGACTGGAGCAGGAGACCATAAGGCGAGACCTAGGGCCCAGATCCAGCTCTTGGATGTGTTATATTTGGCCCGAGAAATGTTTTTTCTTTTTTTCCTTTCTTTTTCCTTTTAATGAACTGGTTGCCAACATATAAAATTTGGGAAGGGCACATAAAATGTTTGGCATGTCTTTTAAAAAAAATTTTTTGTGGGGGGCAGCTGTCCTGCAGAGACCGTGACGCCATAAGGCAGCAATTAGCAGGAGCTTGGTGGCAGCCACTCCCTTTAAATAGGGCACCCCCCCATGCTCCACACCCCGAAGCTCTTCCCTTCTCCTCCTGTCTCTCTTTCCTGTGCTCTGTCCGCAGCCGTCTCTTGGTTCTGACCCATCTAACGGCCTCCGGGCGATAAGGTTTTGTGAGGTTTCCAGAGAAGGACAGCCCGGTTCATCTCCTGGCGAGGGCACTTTTGAAATCAGACATGCAGCACGATGTGATGCCACCAGGGTGTGGCGGGGTACAGGTTGTGTCCCCCTGCCTGAGTCACGTGTTCCAGTCCTGAGCCCCAGTGCCTCAGAATGTAACTGCATTTGGAGAACAGGTTAATCTTAAAAAGAGGTGATTACATTACCGCAAGGCCATCGCGTTGGGCTCTAGGCCAGTGTGGCTACCCGTGTGACCAGTCTCCTCCTACGAGGAGGAAATTAGGGTACAGACCATGGGGAGACACACGGAGGAGGCAGCCGTCTGCAGGCCAAGCAGAGAGGCCACAGAAAAAACCAGCCCTGCCTGCAGTCACCGACACCTTGGTCTTGAACTCCGAGCCTCCAGAACTGTGGAGATAATACCTTCTATTGTTTAAAGGCCCCTCATCTATGATGTTTTCTTAGGGCTGCCACCAAACAGGTAACTTTGCAGTAACAGAACACCATGCTCCATCTGAGAAAACGCTTCCCTCTCCTCCCAGCTACAAGATTTCATTTCCGTGCCTCAGGGTCACGTGACCAAGTTACGGCCAGGGAGATGTGAGGGGGAGTGGCACATGCGAACCACACAGGCAGGGGCCGCAGTCCCCAAGAAATTGGAACCGCCACCTGGGGCTTCCCGCAGGCGCCTAACTCAACACTTACTTACATGGGAGAAATAAACTTCTAGTTTGCTTAAGACGTTATGAGGAGGGAAGGAAGGCTCCTCTGTGATTTAATGCCATGCAGGAAGAGGGAATCGGAGGTTACAGTACTGGCAAGACAGTGGCCGAAACTCCCAGCATTCTGGGAGGCTGATGCAGGAAAATAGAAAGTTAGAGCCCAGCTAAGCTTAATGACTGACACACACCTTGTCTGGGGGAAAAAAAAAAGATTGGAGATGTAGTTCAAGGTGAAGGCCCTAGGTTCAATCCCCAGGCTATCAAAAAAAAAAAAAAAAAAGTGGCTGAAGGCTGGAGCATTGATCAGCGGGTACACACTCAGAGAAACACCGCTGAAGCCAAGAAGTGGGTTCAGAATGAGGAGTCAAGGACTTAGAGGTCTGTCCTTGGCCACAGAACAGGAGTGTGGTCTGCAGTCGGCAGGAGGGCCAGGAGGATGTGGTCGGAGTAGGCCGCTCCAGTGGGAGGCCAGAATGTTGGAAGTCTCTGAAACCTCCATGGGCCAAACCAATGGCTCACGGGAGGGTGAGCATGGACTGTACCAAGTGAGCTGAGGTGGTGTGCACACTGGAGTCTAGGGTGGAAATGGAGTGAAAGGTTGAAAATGGCAAAGGTGTAGGTTACACCGCTGCCCTATAAGGCACAGGAGGATGTTTTAAAGTCTCCCCTGAAGAGTAGCATGCAGTTGGGAGCTTCAGCTCTGCTCTACATCACCTGGGGTTGAGTCCAGGCACATCCACCTGTGAGCACACCTGTCTCACACCTGAGGGATGGGGTGCAGGCCCTCCTCCCTATGTGACCCTTGGCCAAGCAACTTCACTTCCTGAACCTCAGTCTCTACATTCATAAAATGGGGACCACAACAGTGTCTAGCTCACAGGGCCGGTGGCAGATGTTAAATACAACACTATAGTGTGTGGGGGCGCACGCCTGTAATCCCAGCACTGGGGAGGCTGAGGCAGGAGGATCGTTGCGAGTTCGAGGCCAGCCTGGGCTACAAAGTGAGCTCAAGGTCAGCCTGAGCTGCATAGCGAGACCCTGTCTCAAAAAGACAAAAACAAAACAAAAAAAAAAATTCAAATACCACACTACATGAAAGTATCCTGACCATCCAGTGGCACCCGCTGGGCCTGGCATGAGATTAGTATCTACCAGCCCTTAGGTAGATGGGCTTCAAATGCACACAATGTGTTGGACAATGTAAGGTGCTAATGGGACCATTTCCAAATGTGAGACGGGACACTGAGACATAAATCAGTTAGGGAAGCGGTCGGAGCTACTCTGAACCCAGGCTCCAGAGCCTCCACACCCAATCCTCCATCTGGTATACCGCCCCCTTTTCTATAAAGCCTGAGTATCCCTTATCCAAAATCCTTGAGCCCAGAAATGTTGCAGATTTTTGCACTTTTTAAAGTTCAGGATACTTGAGGTAACTTGGAGGTGGAACTCACTTCTAAACACACATTTCCTGTGTTTCATATGCTCCTTATACCCAGAGCCCAAAGGTCGTCTCACACAGTATTTTGAGTGCGGGTTCTGTCAGGCGTCTCCTGAACTGAGGCCTGTCACATGCGGTTAGGTGTGGGATTCTGCACTTGAGGCGTCTTGTTGATGCTCACAAAGTTTCGGATTTTGCAGGATTTTAGGTTCCAGATTCCAGGTAAGGGATGCTCAGCCGGCCTTTCCTCTCCATGGTTTATACAGAATCATCCTTGGCCACCAAAAGGCAGCCCGGTGCCCACTGGCCCCTCTTTCCTGCCCTCCATCGGCAGATCAGGGAGTTGCCCTTGCTTCTTCCTACCGCTCTGGTCCAGCATCCAGGCCAAACGTCTCCAAGGTCCACCCTTCGCATCCAGCTGAGTCCAGCTTCCTCACCTGGAAAGCGGGGCTCTAAACCCACCCCACGGGGCTGGTACAAGGTTCCCTCATGGAGCGTAATGTGCGTCCACAGCTGGGGCAGGTGTGACACACAGTCAGACCCTAGAGTTGCTCCTCCATCCTCCTGCCCCACCCCTACCCCTAGACCTGTCCTGGCCGAGTTGGACCATTGCGATTGGCCCGGTCACCTCCTGTGGACTCCTCACCGGTCTCCTGGCGTCTGCCCTGGCCCCTAGTGACAGCCAGAGGATCTTGTTCAAGCAAGAAACAGAGGACAGGCCCAAGTCTCTGCACGTTAGCAAAACTCCCAAGATATCTGACGGTCACTGGCTCAAGAGAACCCCTGGTCTCCATGCGCTGATCCTACGGTCCTTTGCCACCCTTCTGACTTCATCTGCACTCCGGCCCCACTGGCCCCAGGGCCTTCGCACTGGCTCATCCCTTCACCCAGGCCCATTTGTTGCCCACATTATCTAGCTCTCACTATCGCCTCATTCAGGTCTTTGCGCCGTTGGACCTTTTCACGTGCGCCTCGTCAGATCACCTAATTTGAATTATCACCCCATGCCCTTCTCCGTTTTCCCCCACAGCACCGATCGCCATCCGAGACCCTGAAGTACTGCGGGACCGTTTGTGTCTGCGCCCCACACACCCAATGCAAGGACAGGAAACTGGCAGATCGGGTCCCAGCTGTACTCCCAGGGGGTGCCCATCATATTCAACAACCACCTGTTGACATCTTGCACCAGCTTCTCCCGGCCTCTGCTGAACCCGGCATCCACATGTCCAGCTGCCCCCTCGACGTCCAGGGCACCCACACCATCACTGCATCCTAACCCGCCTCATCCTCGGTCCCCACTCGGGCTCTGCTCCACACTCCTCGTCCCCTCAGGGATGACCCACAGCCCACTGAGCCCTGCGGCCCGGCCCCAGCCGGGCCCTCAGATCCAGGCCCCAGCGCACTGTCCAGCCCCCGCCTCCTCCACTCTCCTCCTAGTCTGTCCCACACACCCAGGTCCACACCTTGTCCCTCGTCTCCAGTGATAAGACAGCCCACATGGGGAGGAAGGGCGTCTCCCTAGCCCCGCAGCACCTCCTTCCAGCTCCGGGGCTCCTCAGGTCTCCTGTGGGGCTCGGGGATCCCCACCTGGCCCCTGAAGAATGCCCCAGAAGGATGGGATCTTCTCTCCCGTTGAGGAGTTTTGACATAAAGTGTGGTGGGAAGGAAAGAAACCCGTACAGATGTAGAAACAAATCCTGAGCTCCAGACCTAGGCAGTGGTCAGTTTACCCTAAAAACAGAGCCCTGTGGTCCCCCAGAAGCCCTCTGTCCCTACCACAAAGCCACTCTCCGGCACCTTGGGGGTCAGGGCAGTGTGGCATGGTGACCAGGTGTGATGCCTGCTATCTGCTATGCTAATGCTGCCTCTCGTGACACTTGCTCCTCCAGGGCGACACGCGTCCCACCACGCCGCCACGGGCGTGTGCTCCTCCACACAGCACACACGTGTCTCGCCAGCCCAAGGCTGGCGTGTGTGCTTGTCCCACAGGAGTCTGGCCCCGTCTCTCCTCATGGCTCTCACCTCCGCAGTCTGCTCCACAGTCCTCCCTGGCTCCCCGCCCCTCACTGCTTTAACCCTGAGGACAACGCGCAGGTGTCTGTCCTGTCCCGGAGAAGGCCACCCTGGGAAGCAAGGGAGCCGTCCCACTTCGCTAGACGGGCACGCTGAAGGCGGGTGAGGAGCAGCGACACCGCTAGACCTGTCACAGCCAGTCTGCGTGCACGAGACCCCGACAGGGCTCGGACCCCGGGTCTCCTCCTTCTAGCCACCCTCTCTACCATCAGTGACCCCGTCTGCCTCTGTACCTGTCCCGGCGAACAGCCTGTCTCACTTGGGTTGCCGAGGTCACCCCTCAAAGACGGTGGTCAGCTCCCAAACCCAGAGACCCCGCCCCAGTCCCACGGGCTCTGAGCCCGAACTCCAGGAGACACTCACCCTGGGCAGCGGCCTCCTCCTGGAGGGACATCGTCATCTGGGTGAAGGTGTCGTGCAGGTGGCTTCTCTCCTCATAATCTGATGGTGGGCGCGGGTCAGGGGCTGGGGAGGCAGCTCCACCCAACCGCGCGTCCCGGGAGGAGACGCCCCGAGTCTTGCAGGCTCAGCCTGGAAGTGCCCAGTGTCCTGTCTGCGTCTCTGGCCCCTCTCCCTCCTACCCGCCTCCCTGCTGCCCAGTCCAGGCGTCTCTCCGCTGCCCCCTTGCCCTGACTCTGAGGCGGCCCTCACTGTCCTTAGGCTCTAGGCGTTTGTCTCTGCCTCCCTCCTCCAGTCTCCCAAAGCCTGGCCAGTCCCTCCCCAGGGCCTGGTCCGTGTAGGAGAGTCTCCCTCCTCACTGATTTCCATGTCCGAGAGACCCTGAAAGGCAGCAGTGAAGGCTTCCTCGCACTGGTCAATCTCGGGGCCCTGCGCCCCAAACAGCCTACAGATGCCAACGCGCTCCGTGTAAGTCGTGAAGCACAGGAGACAGGCCCACGTGGATGCCCTGAGCACCAGCAGGGCCCGCAGGCCAGCCGGGACGGCACCCATCAGGGCCAGCAGGGCCGCGGAGGGTCTCAAGGCCTGAGCAGAAGCTGGTGACCTTTGTGAGGTCACTGCAGGAGGGGGCGGGGCCGGTGGCCAGGGATCAGAGGTCAGACGTCAGGCTCAGGAAGAGGGGGTCAGGGGTTGGCCTGCAAGCCCTAGGTTTGCGGTCGGGCCAGACGCCAGGCTCCCAAGAACCTCACCTGTGACCCTGGACGTCTTCACAGGTTAAAGGGTCTCAGGGACCCAGAGGCTGGCAATGCAGTGGTCCTGACAGGCCCTGGTTGGGGGCAGGAACAGAGAATAGAGGCAGACACGGGACACTCGAAGTGCCACAAAACTAAAAGACGGGAAGAGCCGCTGGGAGGGTCGAAGACCGGAAGCCAGAGGGAATGTTCCGCAGACAGATGAAGCCGCCATGGTATGAGAGGCAGGGGGTGCAAGAGACACAGAGACAGAGAAGCAGGGTGACACAAAGCACAGGAGGCTGGGGTGGGGTTAGGGGAGCTAGCCTAGCCCCTGCCAGGGGCCCCCGCCGCCCCGTCCCGTGCAGGGCGCAGCCTGGGGAAAGCTAGGAGGCCGTATAGTGATCTCCTTGGGTGTCCTCCTCAACTATACAACCTCCTACCTCAGCCCGGGGGGCGCGGCAGGTGGACAGATCGGACAGATGGACAGATGAGGTGGGGGGCCGGGAGGGCCGGGGAGGGCGGGGAGGGCCGGGGAGGTCCCAGCCGCGATGGTGAGCCCCCGACACGGACCCACAGACACGAGCTTGTGTGTGGCGAAGGCCCCGCAAGGTCGGTTCTACGGGTGGGTGCCAGGACCCAGGAGTCCAGGCCCCCGGCCCCCTCCTCCCAAGGAAGCTAGGAGTCCAGGCCCCAGGCCCCTTCCTCCCAAGGAATGCCAGCGTCCAGGATGGAGTCCTGTCCTTCCCAGGAGTTCTGCCTGTCGTCCTGTCCCTCCTAAAGAATCCATGACTACAGGCCCCGCCTCCTGCCTCAGACCCGGGGTCCAGGCCCAGCCTCCTCCCTCGGTGCAGGTCCAGCCAGGTACTTCCCTCCCGGAGGAGACACAGCCTGAGAGCAGATCTGGCTTCCTGGGTGTCGAAGGCAGGGACCCTCACCCATCCCACCTTCCTCGAACTCCCGGCTGGGGCGGAGGGGGACCTGGGGGTGTAGAACCTTCAAGCCTCCCCCATCATTTCTTCCCCATTCTCCTCCCTGCTGTTGGCCTCCCGACGCTTATGACGGTAACAGCTTTAGTCCCCAAGAGCTGTCACCGCTCTGCCCCGAGTCCCTGCTTCTCCGGCACCTCCCAGCCCAGCCATCGAGGCGCTGCTGCGGCGCCCCCATCTTGCAGGTGAGCAGGGGAGGAGGCTGGGCCCGGGGAGGGGGAGCGCCGGCCAGGGCGGGCCCGCCGCAGGTGGCTGGGGCCCGAGGAGGAGCCGCCGCCCGCCGCCGCCCGCTCCCAGCCGGTCCCCAGGGAGTCTCCCCGCATCCAGCCTGGGGCGCGGGCTCCCCCTCGGCCTGGATCCATGTCTACCTTCCTGTCCCTTTCTCTCGGCGCCGCTCCCTCTCACCCTGTTCCTCTCTCTGCATCTTACCTGACCGTGTCCCCCCCCTCGCTCCCTCCGTCCGTCCGTGCGTCCCGGTCTCGCTCCCGCCGGCCTCTCCCTCTCCTTTCGCTCTACCTGGTTCTGCCTTGCATCCTCCCTTCTCCTCCCACCCCGCTTTGTCTCTCTCCTTCCCCTGACCCTCTCGGTCTCGCTGCCTCAATTTCGCTCTCCCTCTCCTCCGCTCTCCGCTCACCCTCTTCTCCCCCCGCCCCTCTGTCTGGCCTCCCGCTCCCTCCTCCCCGCTCCCAGCCTCCTTCTCTCCGTCTCTGTCTCTCTCCCTTTCTCTCCCGGTCTCCCTCCCTCCCTCCCCTCCCCCACCTCCTCTCTCCCTTTTTCTCCTTCCCTCTCTCCCTCCCCCTCGCAGCTCCGAGCCAGGTCTGGAGTTGGGGGTGGGGTGGGGGTGGTGGAGCTGGGGCCC